TACAGGCCTCAAAAGTACAATTCTATTTATAGTCACTGTATGTAACTACTACCTGGCCTGCACACTTAACTACTAAGGCAAAGACCATCAACTGCGACAACACCATAAAGTTAGCATTATTATAACCATTTTATAACTGTTAAAGCAGGATCATAGAGGTTTTATGGTTTGCTGAGATCAGACACGTGGTGCGTGCAGGAACTGGGATTTAAACCCAGGACTCCTAATCCTAATGCCCATGCTCTTTCTCACGCTTAATTTTTGTTCTTAAAAAGGAGTTTTCATACTCAAACACATTGGGAGACACGGATCAGTCAAAAGCACTCTCATTACTGCAATGTAAAGACCTTAGGGTCAGCTGGGATTCCAGTCTAGGTTCTTATGCCCAAACTGTCTCTGGCTCATGTCACACATGCGTCTAACCGAGGCACTGATTCTCTGGATAGCAACAGTCTAACACCACTTCTTTCTGAAGGACAGCCCAGACCCATCTCTCTGGACTTGTCCCAGAAACTTTCTACCTTTCCTGAGCTCTTCTTTGCTTTTCCTTTTCTCCCATCTGGAACTCTCAAGCTTGGTTCTTTTAGGACTAGCACCACACTCAACCCCTTTCATACTCTGATGATCTGAAAGTGCCCCTTTGGGCTCTTAGTCTATGAAATGGAAATATCGTCACCAATGTACTAAAATAAGAAATATACGACATATGTATAAAATGTGCAAATGCATATTTTACAGTGAAAACACCACTGTGTTGGATCAACTAATGGTCAGTTTAAGTGGGAACGCCCACTTTTTCAGCTGAACTGAGTCAGCGTGGTTCTGGGCATGGACGATCCACCTGAGGACTGCTGCCAGTGGCGTAAAAGGAGACTGGGAGGGGAATATTGTGCGCTGTTGATTCTTCTGGAGAAGCTTGTAGGGGCTGGTTTTCTGGATAAGAACTGGGCTGTTTTCACTGGAGGATGAGCTTCACCTGGGATGGCTGCTGTTCTCTTCGGGGAGCTCTGATCTTCACCTTGTGTGTTGCTTCCTGGCTCCAGTGCCTTCTGGCACAGATCCTTCACACAGCCAGCAGACTTTCTAGCTTATACTACTGGCCCTTGGGCCTTCCCGGTACAGACCTTTGATACAGATTTGCATGAGATGTGGCCATGGGCTCTAGGCCTCCAGCTGGACTCCTATGGGACACTGCCATGGGACCTAAGGTGTTATGCTTTGTGTCTGGATTTCCCCCAAAGCCTCATGCAGTCAAGAGGGGCAGGCTTTTCAGAAGCATCTGAATGTGGAATTTGTGACTGGTTTATACTGCAATGTTGAGATTAAGGATATGTGATTGCTGATTAGATTGGCATCACCCTAATCCCAGCAGTCTGAATAAAAGGGCAGAAAGAGGTGCTTTTTTTTTTTTTTTTTTTGCCTCTTTTGTTCTTGTCTTTGCTGTCTTCTGACACCAGGAACTGTTGCCCCTCTGCCATGCCACCCTGCCTTACAGCCAGTTGATTATGGACTGCACCCTCTACAAACTGTGAGCTAAATAAAGCTTTCCTCCTTCAGCTTTAGGTGTGAGATTTTGTCTCAGCAAGGGCCTCAGCTGGATTCTTTGGGTCTCTAGTGTGCAGGTAGATCTCTTGCACTCTTCTGCATTTGACTTTCTGGGTGAATATTATAATCCTACAAATTATGTGTCCTGTATTAAATCTTCTCCCTTGCAAACTCCAACTACAACAGCTTCTAATAGCTATGGAAAATAAGAAAATTGGAATATTCAAGAACTTTATTGACTCTAGATATGTCAACAATAAAAGGCTGTATTAATAAGCCCCCAACATACCAGCTTTTCAAAAGGGCTTCCATATCTATTATTTTAGTTTATTGTACAAAGACTCACTCCATGTAAGGCTACTAGAATACTATTTGAATCTAAGTTCCATGAACAGATGAAATGAAATACAGATTTTATTCACTGCTCTTTCCTTAGTGCCAAGAACACGTGCTGGCACATGACAGGCATTCAAGAAATATTCGTTGGTTGAATGATGGAAGGAGAATTGCATGGTATGTATGTACTGTCTTCACACTATTTTATTTTTTGAGAGGAAGAAGACTCTAAGGGAACAATTAAATTCCTAATACTCTTCTCATTCTTCAATCCTCCTGTAATTTTTCACTTCATTTATTTTAGGAAAACCAAGTACTACCAAAATATAAAAATAAAGTTGTTCTTGACGCCATCATAAAAAAACACAATTAACATACTATGGTACTTCCTTTCAGACTTTATTCTCTGCACACAAACATACCCACACCCATGGGAGATAATCCTGAAAGTCCCTGCCCTAGACTTTGGGTCTTGAAGTTTTCCCTTTTTCTCTAAGCCCTTTTCTTTACCTGTTACAGGTTTTTGCCCTCTTCCTATCCCCTAACTCTGTTCTTTCCCCAATATTTAGGTCCTTATTTTTTCCCCTAGTTCCCTCCAGAAGATCTGACTGTACTTCAACCTGAAACTCCATGAGATGTCTTCCACCTGCAGCCTCAATTTTCCTTTTCCTCCAAGACATCAGTGCTTCTCCAGCCCCACACATCTATATCCCAGTGTACCATGTCCCATCAAGACCAGCTGATTCCAGGGTATGGTGGTGCATGCCTGTAACCCCAGCACTCAGGAGGCTGAGCCAGGAGGGTCACTGAGAGTTCAGGGCCAGCTTGGACTACATAGCGATACGCTGTCTAAAAAACCAAAAAAGGAAAACCAAAACAAGCAACTCATTTACCCATTTCTCACAACTGAAGCAGAACTCTACAGTGCTCTCAATAGTTTTTGAGACTCCATCCAATCACCTGTAAGCCTTTCTATCCTTCCTTTCTATTCTCATCTGTCTTTTACCACTATTTTTTTGTTTGGGCCTTTACATTTACATTATTTTCTACCTGTGCCTTTTTGCTGTATAACCAAAACACCAATCAGTCCTACCCACTGCTACCACTCAAACCCTTCTATCTCACCATCCTATATTCAGAAATTTATGGCTACTTCCCACCCTCACAAAATGGAATTCTAGTTCCTTCATAGTCTTGCCTCAGACTATTTTATATCCTTATTCCTCATTATTCCTGAAAACAAACACTTTGCTCTAGCTTGCATGATGTACTCAGTATTACTCCAATGTATAACATTTATGGTTTATGTGCTTATTAACCATTTATGACATCTTCGTTCATCCAACAAGTGTTTACTGGGCATTTTCTATTATGTCAGGTGATGTACTGATGCTGTCGACACAAGGATGAACAAGACAGACCAAGACCCTGTCCTCACAGAACTTACAGGCCACCTGGTTATACAAGGGAGCACTGGGGACACGATGGTCCCAGCCCCAGACACTCCCAATCTTACGCTAAAATGTCAAGTGGGTCAAGACATCCCTGATGGCTGAACACTGCGGTCCAGGCTGCAAGTAGGGAAGGAGTTCAGAAGGAAGGAAGTGCTGGCCAGGCTGAGCGCTGGAATGTGGAGCATAGTTTCTCTGAGGATGTGGGACTCAGCCTGGACATTCAAGGACAGGCACCTGACAGTAAAGGCTATCTTCCACTGGGAGATACTGTAGGAGGAAAGCACAAAGGTGAAATAAAAAAACAAGGGCAACAGCAGCTGTTAGTTTTGGATAAAGGTTCACATAACACCTAGTCAGCGGAGCACACGCTCTACCCCAGCAAGGCCTGGGGATTTGCAGTGGATGTGAGAAAGACTCAGCCTCCGCTTCTACCGCCCAGGATTTCCATCAGCAAGGAGGGTAAGGCAGGTCAGTGGTGATCACTCACCACCAAAAGTAAGCCATTTCACAATAAATTCAGACAAAATACCAAGGAAGTTGGGGTGGGGCTGTGGGGAGCAGATGTCCGGGTTTGCACAGAAGTACTCAGAGAATCATATTTATATTCAACTACATTCATATGTGCATATATTGAAAATAATCATCTTGCTTCCAGGTCCTCACTTTTTATCTTGTGCTGTGATTTGTGAAGCAGGCAGAACAGGTAAGGTTATCTTTTCGTGATAAGCAAAAACAGCAAGGATCTTTTAGTGATCTGCTTATGCAGGGAACACAATTAGGCAAGAAAATCCTGTCCATCTCGGTCCACGGTATCTAGAGCAGAGTGCGCACATCAAGTTCTGTAATTGCATCTGACACCTGAGAGATGTAATGGAGCCTGGCAGACAGTTTGGACTTACAAGGACAGGACAGGATGCAGGCTGCCCTCTGGAAAGGGAACAGGACCCAAGGTCCTCCCTCCGTTCCTCTTCACCTCCCCAAGTCCTGCCCGCATCACCCACCACCACCAAGGCCTGTCCAAACCACAACTATCCTTTAAGGTCTGCTCCTAAATTTTTCTTCTACTGGGTTTTTCTCGCGATGATTTCACCACCCACCCCCAGTCTCCCAGGGACATCACAGTATATCCAGCTCGCACACTGGCTCATAGGAGGTTGTTAATAAGTACGTATCGGTTGAATGAATCAATTTTTGGGACTTCTACAACTCAGTAAAGCTACCACGGGTTCTTACATCCATCCCTCGCAACCCCGAGGAGCTCACTAACACGAAGACCGAAGGGTCGGGTCCGGGCCCTGGGAACCTGGCGCGCCATCGGGGCGCGGGTCCTCAGCTGAAGTCGGGGCTAAGGCTCCCGGCTTCCACAAAACGCGCGTCACGAGGTCGTTAAATGTTTCCCCACTTGCAAAATCCTGGGGAAAGTGGTGAGAAATAAAACCGGGAGTGCGCGAATCTCGGAGCCTACCCCTGGGCAGTCCCTGCAAGGGAAGAGCGCGCGGGAGCCACCAGCAGCTCCGGGAAGGCAGAACGATTCTCGTCGCAATAGAACCGAGGGCTGGAAGACTCGCGATATCTGGGGGGTCGGGATCTTGCTGCGTTGCCTAGCGACAGGAGGACGCTCGCGGGCCCCCAGGCTAAACCCCGCCGTAGCCTTAAATCTCCTACCATGGGGGAAGAAAGCGGCGGCCGTAGCTGTGGGACCACTAGGGAGCTGCAGAAGCTGAAGCAGCAGGCGATGGAGTACTATCGGGAGAACGACGTTCCGCGCAGGCTGGAAGAACTGCTCAACTCCACCTTCTACCTCCAGCCTGCCGACGTCTACGGGCACCTGGTAGGGACCTGGGACGCGTAACCCTAACTCCCTCCAGCACCTCTCCCCACACCCCGCGCTGCGGCAACGTGCTGCGCCTGCGCCTCAGAGTCGCGCATGCGTGCTGTGCCGTGCTGGCTGGCAATGGTGCGGAGGAGCGATTACCAAAGAGGGGCAGCGAAGAGGACTTATGGGGCGAAGGAATACTGAGAGGGAACTTGGGGGAAAGGAGACAGCTACAGGAGAGCGAGATGTACTACGGCGACATCTCAGAGCCTAGCAGCCTGCGCGTGGGTTTGTTAAACACAGTCTTGAGTACCGCCTACCTCAGCCTACACTTTCAGCGGCTCCCTAGGACTACGGGGTGTCCGGCTGGGCATTTGCTGCCACTTGGCCTCAGTTCATCCCGGGTCCCCGTCTGGCTGGCTCCCAGTGCCTCCAGGTTGTGCCCGGATATCAAGCCAGTGCGCTTTGCCTAGTTCCCCCTCCTCTGCCTGGGTGCTGGTCCCCAGCGAGCCAGCTCCTCCTCAAACTGCAGAATTCGCGCCTGAGCCTCGTTCCATCGCCCTGGACCAACAGTCCCAGAGTGTTCCTGTGGCATTCCCGGTGTGTGCTGTGATCCCTCGAGTCAGCCTTCCTACAGTTTGAACTCCAGGTGAAACCCAGGGCCTTTTGTACCCGCTTCCGGTGGGACCTGTGCCCAGCCTTGAGATCTGGCTTTTGCCACATCCTTAAAATAAGCAGTTGAAAAGAGAGCTAGCCTTTTGCCCCTTCTAGAACGATAAGACTAACAAGCGCTTCGTGTCTGCAAGGCAGGGTGATTGGGGCGGGTAGGATTTTGCCCTGTGGTGAGGGAGAGCAAGGAGGCGGTAGGACAAACAGAATCTGTAAGTACCGTGAAGCATGATATACAGTAAGCGTTCACCAGGACATCGGCTTGGGCTCCATGTTTCGTTCTTTAGTCATGGCCCCTACATCAAAGTTTTTTGGGGGGTAGAGGGTGTCGTCGCATAGTTTTCTCTGAGCCCCTTGTGCTATGTGTTGTATCACAATCCTTTAAACCACTGCAAGGTAGAAATTACTCCATTTCATGAAGAACCTGTAGCCCATGAATTTAAATGATTTTCCCAAGGGACATAGTCACAAAATTAAAAATCAAGCCAGGGCTGTGTCCCCAGAAGCTAGCAGAGAGTGTCGGGTACATAGTGGACACTCAAAAACTATTTGTGGGATAAATGAGTACTTGACACTGACTCCATTCCATCTCTTGCTAGAGGACTTCTTAAAATAGATTTAGTGTAACTTCCTCACGTTACAAAGACAGCAAGCCCTGTCTTACAACTATTCAGTGTGCACAACTGAGATTAGAAACTTAGACCCTTGTTCAGCCTGACTCTGGTTTGTACATCTCTTTGGGACCATGTACATTGGTTAGGGACAAAAGTCACTGATACCTGTAAGAAACTGAGTGTGCTAAATGATACATGATTCTATGCTAGATTGAGGGACAGATCACATGCCATTAAAGAAATTCAGGGATGGGAACAATCCCTGTAGAGTATAATAACAAGGAAAGTCTTGGCTTGGACTTTAAAGAATATTCAGGAGTTTCATTCACAAAAGGCAACCTACTTTTTGTTTTCTTGGTCACTGCCTTAGTTTTGGCCATCTCTCTCTCAGTTAGCTTCCTCTTCTATTAGTCTAGCTTAATATTGACGGAATACTCTTCCTGATACCCAAGGCTGACCACTCTCTTGCTCAGAAATTTCCTCGCTGAGGTCACACACCTTCATGTGTGGTGCATGGTGCTCAGGCTTATCTTCTGTTCCCTCCCCAACTCCTCTACCTCTTACTATCCCATAAAGCCATCCCATTGTCTCAGGTATCTGCCACCACTTTCCTTCTTGTCTGCTGCTTGTTGAAGTATTATACATCCTACCGTGTTCACCTCAAATGCCATCTCCTTTTTACTTCTAGAACAATAGAGGAATTCAGTGTTAGGGAAGATACCTGTAAGCAACAGCAATACTACTTGCTCCTTCATTATAAAACTTAGGATTGAAAAACCAGGAACCAGGCCAATCTGGGTTTGAGTCTCAGCCCTGCCACTTACTAGCTGTGAGAGAGTGTTATATGTATGGGCGCCCATGGACACACTACTAATGAGAATGCTTTTTTGGAAATCCCTTCCATGTTGACTCTAGACTTAGCCATGCTTTGATCAATATGACCTTGGCAGGCATGATCCAAAAACAGGCTTGATAAATGTTGGCATACTGAGGCTGGTCCACTTAGAAGCTAGTCCTCATGCTGTGAGGAAGTCCAGTTACCCTGCTGGAGAAAGAGACCAAAGAGAGTCCTTGGCAGATGTCTGGCCACCAGGATATTCTGTGAGAAAGACATGGCTCATCCCTAGCTAATCTAGCCATCCCAGCTGAGGGACTGGCCTTGTGAGGGAAGCCATCTTGGATATTCTGGCTCTGCTGTAGCCTCTAGATGATTACATCTGCATGCAAAACCCTACATTCAACCAGTTGAGCCTAGCCCAGTTTACAGAATATGAGCGCATAAGTAGTTTCTACCAAGTTCTGGGCAGAACTGTTACAAGCAGTAAATCATTAAAACATTAGCTTTGTGGTCTTGGAGAATTTATTTCACTGGAACTCAGTTTGTGCCTCTGAGGGGTGGAGATGATGCCACCTACCTTGTTGTTTTGAGAAATTAATGGTACTCACATAATGTATGCAGAGTGCCCAGGGATGTGTCTGACATGCATTAATTTACATAAAAATCCATTGTATTTCACGCACTGTGGTACATGATACAGTGAAAAACAGTCCTTCCTTCAAAGTAACATTAAGCATTTGAAAAGTGTTAATTCCCTCCCCTTTTAACATTGTACCACACTGCAGGTGCCTAGTCCTTATTGAACTCTCTACAACACGTGACCTGTAAGCTAAATAACATTTTTCTTTTCTTGATCCCATCTACATTAATTTTGGTGCTTACTCTGTAACATACAAACCACACCCCAAAATGCACAGATGGCTTGAAAATTGGTGTTTGCTCTGGTTGTGCCTTGGTTCCACCACTGAGCGGGCTCATTGTTGTGGATGTCAGCTGACCTGTGGTCTTGGCTGAAGTCACTGGATCCTGAACTGATGAGCTGAAGGACGAGAGACCTGGTCTTTTGAACGGAAGCACAAAGCCTGATGTAGTACTCGGAATGAAGAGGGTGAAGAGGGTATGCTTCTATTTCCCCTTCCTCCATCTCCTCTGTTCTTGCTTCTTTGCAGAGAAACACAGAACTTTAAATCTTTTTATTCAGGCTCCTGGCATGGGCCTTCTACCTGTTTCATTCATTCTTCAGTCTCTTTCTTGGATCAGTTCTAAAGGACTTCTGCTTTTCCACCTCAATGAAGTTGCTATTACTGAGGTTCCCAACAAGCCTCTTTAAACATACAGGACTATGCATAAGCTGACAGTAAGACCCAGCTGCTGAATAATTCTCCATTCAGAACTCAGATGCCTTGCTAAGAGGAGGAAAAACCAGCCCCCTGCAGGTTACTTAAATGTGAATTCATCACAGTTTTTAGGAACTGACTGACTTCTGTATTTTGGGCAGAGGGAATTGAGGAATTGAGGGAATTGAGCTGACTCTAGGAAAGTCTGCTAAAGAATGACACATGGCCTTTAAAGAGTCTGAGCTGCTACTGAGAGTTGAAAAAATCTACACATTGCCGCATGTGCCAGGCTGTGTGAGTACACGCATGTGTGTGTGTGTGTGTTTGTGTGTGTGTGTGTGTTTTGGAGGCTCAGTCCAGATCTCAGTGGTGAGGGCAGGGCTGTTCCCACAGAGCTATTGCGCTAGCCCTGGCATGAGGAAGGACACATATGGGAAGCAGGTAATCGTGGCAAACCAAGGCATGTGTGCCGCAGCAGGCATGCCTGTATCATTGAAAGTGCTCAAAGATTCACCATCATGGAACTAGAGTTAATGTAAATGACCTTTTGAAAATTAATTTGATGTGGTACTCTGATTATTTTTTTGTGTTGAAGGCAAACTGCTTTTCTAAACTTGCTAAGCCTCCCACCATATACAAAATAATGGGGAAAAGTGTACTGGATGGACTTGGGCTTCCTACACTGCAAGTGGAAGTATTCTGCATCATTCAAAATTTTCCCAAGGTATGAGGCAGTTGAAATGTATTCTTCTAAGATACCCTGGCCACTGCATTTATTAGCAACTCTTATCTAAACTGTAGGAAATTAATGTTTTGAAATTTTGTGTTTGTGAAATATATGTATGATTTATTCATTAATAATCATGTAAATATGAATATATAAATCAACTATGGGTTATATTTTTATTACATTTTAATATAGTGTAATTTTAATATAGATGCTAACCTGAAGATGATCCAAGATGGAGAAAGAAAAGCAAAAATAGTTTTAAAAAATCTGACATTTCTAATACAATAAACTGTAAATCTCTAAATAGGTTTATAAATTTATTTATTCATCTATCAATTTGTAGATATGTAGACTGATTAAAGAAAATAATTTTGGGCTGGGGATATAGCTCAGTGGCATAAGCGCCTCCCTGGCAAGTACAAGGTCATGAGTTCGATCCCCGGTACCGCAAAAAAAAAAATAGTAATTTTAACAATTCGTTTTAATTCACTCTAATTGGTACATATTTGTTAGAAATAATTTTGGTATAGACCCGGTGTCTTACTTTTCTCATTGCTGATACAAAATACCCAACACCCATTGTTGAGGGAAGAAAGTTTATTTCAGCTCCAAGGCAGGGAAGTATGGCAGAAAGGCATCATAGAGGAGAAATAGTTCATGGTATGCCAGACAGAAAGCAGCAAGCAGCAGCAGGCCGGCCTTCTTTCTCTCCCTTTTTATTTCATTCAGGCTATAAGCTTATTGGTTGGTGCCACCCACACCCAGGGTGGAGATTCCCTTATCCACACCCAGAACTATGCTAAACCCATTTGGTTATGACACCCTGAATTCCAGTATCACACACCTTAGATCCAGCCAGATGCAAAAAGCCCCACCTATGAGTGCCTGAGGCTTTGGAAGCACATCTAGATACAAACCATAACACCCAGGGAGAGTAATCGTGATTAAATCTGTTCATGCCAAATGAGGTAGTGCATGCCTATAATCCCAGTTACTCTGAAAGATGAGGCAGGAGGATTGAAAATTCAAGGCCAGCCTGGCCAACTTAGAGACACAGTGCATGTCTCAAAATTTAAAGGATGTAGGTCATTGGTAGAGGGTTTGCCTAGCATACATGAGGCTGTAGGTTCCATCCCCTGCACCAAAATAACAATCTGTTCATATCTTTGTAGCTATTTATTGAAAAGATAGTGATAAAAATGAAGTTCAGTGTAGCGTCTTTGTGGGGTTATTTATAACAAAGTGATAATTTTAAATGTTTTGTGAAGTTAGGTTTTACAGTATTTCAACATTTATAAAAATATCTGAGCAAAAATTATATCTTCCATTTTCCTCTTTCAATTGGTGATAAAGTAGCTCGCATGTTAAAAGCTGGATTACTTCAACTTCCTACTTTCTGGGAGAGGTAGTGGAAGCGTATGGCATATTTACGTCATTTCTAGAGCGTCTGTTCCGTGATGATCCCCACGCACTTTGAAGTCTGTGAGAACGCTTTGCCTGAGCTGGTGGAGGCAGAGGAGGCAGAAAGGAGCCTGGCAGTGAGCACTGCTGTGCAGTGGGTCAACGAGACCATCACTGAAGAGCTGCGCGGGCTGGCGCCCTCCAAGCAGGCTGAGGTGGACTGTGTGCTCAGGTACAGCTTCCCCTTAGAAATAAAACATGTCACGTGTACCTACGTATCTGTTATCTTCGCATTTCACCTGTAGGAAAAAAAATGGCTCTGATCTATACAGTAGGCAAGTCAATTTAAGAAGCAGAATTTTATAAAAAAATAATAATTATTTAGAGATAGTTATATAAAAAACTCTGTTATTGAAATCTTACTGCGTAAGGTTACATAGGACCGGTTGGTCTCTCTTTTTTTAATTTTAAAGAGGAAAAAACAATAACAAAGTAACAAGAATGAAGACAAAAACAAAATAATACAAAAATAATAAAAACAATACACGATTTCAAAACAAGATGATAGGAATTAACAATGATTGTTATATTACATATTGTTATCTTCAAAGAAGTTGCTCAGATTACCAGATGTAAGAATGCAAGGTTGATCAAACAATTAAAGACAATAACAAATAATAAAAAAAAGTTAGAAACAATACAGAGCTTCATAAAAAAGATGGTAGGAATTCAGCAATGGCTGTTGCATATTGTTGTCTTCAAATTAGTTATTCAGATTACCAGATATAAGCATGCAAAATTGGTCAAGAGAAAAGAAAACAATTTAAACATTAACTGTTCCTTTCAGTAAACCAATAGACTTCAGCAATATACTTATCTCCGCTATCCTTGTATATACATATTTTTTTCTATAATTTTAAAGAGAAAATATGAAAAACAAAATAATAAAAGCAAAGGCCTAAACAAAGCAACATAAAAGCAATAAAAATGATACAGAATTTCAAAACAAGGTGATAGGAAATCAACAATAGTTGTTATCCTACACTGGTCTTTTTTTTTTTTAAGGGAAGGTTTTAAATGAGGAACAAATAAACAAAGAAATAGAACAGTAGCTCTTTTTATTCATAGAGCCTCCCTAAGATTCAGCAAAAAAGTTTCTTATGAAAATGATAAAAGTACAAATCTACATGATCACCAAAAAAGTTTCTAATAAAACTATAAAAGTACAAACCTACATAATGTCCTTCCACCCCCCGCAACACACATGCTGCCTTTTGTGCTCTCACATCCTCCCGTATGACCACAACGGCCGTGCCTGCAGCTCTGCTTCCTCACCACAACCAGGTCTTCAGCGCTCAGCCTCTAGGTTCATTCTAAATTAAAAAACCAGCCCAGCATGGTAGTCCACGCCTGTAATCCCAGCACTGGGGAGGCAGAGGCGGGAGGATTGTTGCAAGTTTGAGGCCAGCCTGGGCTACTTAAGTGAGTTCAAGGCCAGCCTAAACAGCATAATGAGACCCTGTCTCAAAAAGACAAAGAAAAAAAACAAAATTAAAAACCAAAGAAGAATCTATTAGGCTATGAAGTATCAAACCAAGTAACAAGTTAGGATTAATTTTCCTTTTGTGCAGAAAACTTTTCCGTTTGTAGCCAGGCAAAAGTCAACAAGACCCTCTCTTTTGAAGCTTAATCATTTGCTTAATTTTACAGAATGTCATGTTTTGGTTTGCCTCAGAGTCGGATGATGACCTTTGTTAATACTTTTAAAATACTTTTTGTTTTTTCCTGAATGCCACTCTATTTACCGTTTCTTTTTGGGGGGCGGAGCTTATTTGCTGTTATCAAATATTTAGTTTTTTCCCAAGTTCTCAGTCACACCTTCAATTTTATTAACACCCCCTGCCCTTTTGTCCCAGAGCTTTTTTCTCCCTAAACCTCCCATCAGAACAGGTTCCTCTTCAGGCCCACTGCAGAGATACCATAAAGACTTCATGTTCTTTTGGTTCTGGATCCTATATTTCCCTGTTAGTTTTCTGGATTATATCCTCTGAAAGTAAGGATGAGAAAGGGGATGTGCGATCCAAGTCTTCTGAGTTCTTGCATGTGTAGAAATGTCAGTACTTTGCCCTCATGGTTGATAGTTTAGATGAATTTCCCTCAGTCCCTTAAAGATGTTGCCTTTTGCTGGCATCTAGATTATTAATAAATTGACTGTAAATCTAATTCTTATGTCTTTTTGTCCATGGAAGCTTTTATCCTCTTCTTTTTGTTTGGGGTGGGAGCCAGGGGTGAAAGGGGATGTTGAAGTTTTATGTAATTGTACCTAAGTGGGAATTCCCCAAAGTTTTTTTCATTATTCATGTTGAGAACCCCTCCAAAAAAGAAAAACAGAAATCTTTTACCTAATGGTATGTTTCACTGTATATCCTTCATGTCATTTATACAAAAAGATAATCCAGTAGCCTTTAATCAAATTATGACTTCAAATTTGATTTTGAAAATGCAAGCAGAGCTCAGATAATTTAACAAATGTCCCCCTGAAATCTTTAAGCATTTATTTCCAGGCCAAATATATTTCACTTCTTAACACAGTTTTATACCACATCATTATTTTTTGCTTTGGATATTAATTTATTCTTCAGTAGCCGAAGAGCATCTTTTTGAAACACATTGGGGTCTGCTATAAAACATGACCGAAGTACAGAATGATATTCTGTGTAAATGGTATTTACCATGGAATGGCCAATTTCAAAGCCATATTTTCTTGCCATGAAGGACATTCTTTGCAAATAAAGTGCAAGAAGATAAGGAGAGAAAAGAATTGGAAAAGAGCCAGGAAGACTCAGCAGGCCCTGCACCACCACCTCAAATCCTGCCACCACCTCCTCCACCTCCTACCAAAAAAAAAGGGCAGAAGCCAGGTCAGTGGTTTATAGAAACCCTTCGTGACAAGCATTTGAAGAAGAAAGGCTTACGCTCAGGCTGTTTCGATGCTGTCCATCCTCCACACCACATCTTCCCTTGGAGCTGCCGTGCAGGGTGGACAGTGTTTTACCCCACCCTGCTGTCCATTTTAATTTGTAAGATAAAATTATTTCCCATTCAGAGATGAGCACCTATTAAAGTACACTGAACACTGGCAATATGGGAGTGGGGTGTGGCAGGGGGAACCTTTCATCTCCTCTAGAAATTTCCATTAGATAATCAAAAAGCAACTCCATATTTTAAAGAGTGTTGAAATTCTTTGATATGGACAATCAATATTTTCGAAGTCCCATGTGACATATAAATTAAGATTCGTTTTTGAAAGCCTTGCTGTTTTAAAGCACAGAGAAATTATCACATCAGTTTGCCCTTTGTTCCATGTTTTCCAACAGATTTCTAATCTCAACCCCGCCATTAGGTTAATGTCAGTGTTGCTCTTAGGATAGCGTTTTCACGTCTACCAAACTAGAGCATGTTGCTTAAGGGAACAATAATGAATGCCTTATTCGATGATGGCTAACCTTTTAGAGACCGAGTGCCCAAACTGCAGCCAAAGCCCACGTTATTACAAAGTGCCAACACTGCCCCACGTGTGCTGTTAACCAATGCTCAGCTGTTGGGGTGATGCTGGGGCAACTTAGTTCATGTGCCGACAAAAGAGGGCTCTGTGTGCCCACTGAGGCACACATGCCCCAGGTTTATCATCACCGGCCTTATTCACCTTGTCATTGCCAGTGTCTTGCAATGTAACACCCTCCACCTCTCAGTACCCGATAAATGTGGAATCCATTGAAGAAGTCACTAGACCAAGAAAGGACTAGACACCATGGGGACAAGGTCCCTTATTTCATTGATATGACTGCTGAGGTCCAGAGAGGGCAAGAGTATTGACCAAGGTGAAAGAATCCACTTTCCGTGGCATATTGGACAAGTCTCATCATCACCATAGCCTGCAGTTCACTTATATATGGTATAATATCTACCTCACCCCACAGAGTTAATATGGAATGGCCTAAAATTTCGTAGGCAAAATCCATGGCTTGTGATTACTTGACACCAGGAAGTGAAGCCACACACATTCTTGGTGGGTGAGGTGGAGAATAGCTTCTTTCCAGCTTCACTCCTTTTTTGTTGAGCCTTCTTATGCGTAAGAGAAGCATTTAGAAGTATAGTCTTATGCTAGGCTTCCTAAAAAGGAATGTTGTCAATGCTTTTTCCTCCAGGAAAAAAGGATTCTCCTGTAGAGAAACCGATCACACCTGCAGAACCTGTTGAACCAGTACTCCATGGCAGTATGGCCATAGGGGCTGTGTCACTAGCAGTTGCCAAGACCGGCGCCATTCTGGGCAGTATTCCTTTGTACTTAAACATCGCATTACTGAAGCACGGTCAGGTTAGTGTCTGCTATATTCCATTACGAGGAGCCCTGATTGTCTCAGAGCAAATGAGCCACCTTTCTCATTTTCTCTGCTTTCCCTTTTCAGGAACAGTCAGCAATACTAACAATGCCTTTGCTGATGGCATCTGTGGTCAGCTGTGGGAAGTCATCACCTGGGAAACTAAATTTAATGAAAGAAGTGATTTGCATACCCCATCCCGGATTAACAACTAAACAAGTACCTTCAATTATCCCAGACATTTTCTGAATAAAGAAAGGAAATACAGGGGCTGGGGATTTAGCTCAGCGGCACAGCGCCTGCCTGGCAAGCGCGAGGTCGTGAGTTCGATTCCTGGTACCAGAAAAAAACCAAAACCAAAAAAAAAATAAAAAAGGAAATACTCTATCATGTATGTGATCTTAGCATAGCTCCTTTATGACACCAAGGGAGAGGGAATTAAGTATAAAATGAGAAAAAAATACTTTAGGAAATATGGGAAGTAGAAATAAAGCAAGACCTCAAAAAAGGCACACATCTTAGATGTCTGGTTCATTACAGTATTGGTTTGTGCTAGTGATTTACAGTGAAGCCAGGATGAGTAACTCTGGAGGACTTGATGGTGTGGGAAGGTTGTTAGCTGGGAGAATTGGGATGTCTTTATTGACTTGTGTATGCACTTTATTTACTGGCAGTAGCAACTAGAAGCTAGCACTTTCCTAGTAGCCCACTCTGTTCAAAATGAACTCCAAGCCTAGTAGATTGCCTAGAATATAAAAGGCATTTCGCGTGAATCTGTGGAATAAATGAATCCAAAGTCACTTCTGAGAGGTGTATTGATGTCTATATTTCTCTTCAATGGCCTCAGTCAATATGCCTCTGAAAACCTTCATATTCTACCAATTAGGCCTTAGGGAGATGCTACAGGTTCAAATGTTCAAAAACAAGTACAGGAAGCTTCTCCCCTACCCGCCTATTAACATGTTCTGAGCAGCTTGAGTCACCGGTGGTAGGTGAACGACTGTCCCATGCCCCTCACTGGTTCAGAGCCGCCCAGCAGTGGAACGTACAAATTATGGTCCTGTCATGAACATGTTAATAATGAGTGATATTTTCTAAGATAGTGAAAATAAATGTATAAAAAGTCAGGATACTTCCTTTATAATTCTTTTTTAAACAAAATCATGATTACCTTGTACCTTATCAGTTACAAACCAAGACTTATATCTGGTTCACCATCTGTCAGCTCACTCAGCTACTGTTGCCAGTCTAGATCTTTTCTTTAGCTACTATCTCTTGTGCTATTTCGGTACCATAGCAGTAGACATGTCATTCCGTATCTGTCTTCATATACAGATTGTAGCACCATCACCACCCACTTTTTTCTTTTTAAGTGACAATAGAGTGATACTGATTCAGGCTCTCTAATCCCAACTATCTTTGTGACATGTGACATGTACCACAAGAAGGTTATCTAGGTTGGTCAAGAGATGGTGAAAGAGAATTAAGTTATCTTGGTCCAGCCAGTGGAACCAACCAGTCCTAAACAACAAGGAGCTGAGGCAGAGAGTTCATGCTCAGTCAAATGCAAACCAAGAGCCACCGACTAACATATAGTCTTCTGATTCTGTAGACCAACCCCTAGCAGGGCCCATAGCAGGGACTCTACATACAGTACTCTGAGTTAGGAATAGTCACATGTGGTGTAAGTTTTTATGTTTAAAATATCTAGACTGCAACTGTGGAAAATCATGATTACTCTACTTGTAGGGTGTGGAGATGCTTCTGGAAATTCAGAAACAAATTAACAAAACACTGGAAATGGTACGTAAACAAAATCTCTGGTATCATGTTACTGATACTTTCTAGGTCTAATTGTTAGTTCATTTTGCATTAAATCAATATTGTTATTATTGTTTTAAGAAATGTATTTATTTGCTTTGGGTTTCCCATACATACCAAGTAGATACATTACTTATTGGCTATGGATCAGTTATCTAAGGGTACCCAGTCTCATTTTGATTTCTGAGGCAGCTAGCTATGTGCTAAGATCATTCTTTAGGATTTACAAAGTATGTAAGGTCTTTGTGCCTTATAGGGGAAATAATATGTTGGACCTAGAAAAACAATCCCATAGTGGTAGGTGGTATTCCATAAGATCAGATCAAAAAAAGAATTGATCCTCCTGCAAAGAATGGCTATGTACAGCAGGTGTTTCTCATACAATGTGTGAATACATTTTTTATATGAGTAGAAACACACGAACCTGCGTTTGCATGCCTGACATATGTGACTGGAGGCAGAAGGTAATATTGAACTAGAGGGAGTATGTGCCTGAATTTAAGAAAGTATTTGGGACTTTAAAAAGTAGAGAGTACCTGGAATCATCCATGTGTATGTCTGTGCATGTATATGTGTGTGTACGGGTGTGTGACATTCCCTGTAGCAGACCAGCTGACTAGGCCCCCTAGGGGTAGACAGCCCGAAGATTTGAAGCTCTGGTTGCTGCCATGGATTTGAAGATCCCAAGTTATGTGGTTTTATCTTCTGTCTCACAGCCCCCTCCTCCAAAAGCAGAGAACAAAAAGGGACTTAATGGAAACAAAAGAGGTCAAGTAAGTACATGTAGTTGTTTACCAACTTATCTAGGACACTATATGTATTGTTTCCTGCCCCCTTTACTCTCCCATGGTCATTTTTCTTTAAGGTCAGAGCTGAGGCAAGTGGAAACAATAAAGTGATATTGCTCCAGGAGCACAAACGCAGGGCTAGAATAGCAATCTGCCACTGCCTTTTCATCTACCGACTGCCCGGCCATTGCTGCCTGCAGTTGCCAGTCAGCTGGAATCTCGGAGGTCTCAGAAGCATTTATGAGTAACAAGATTGCATCTGACCTTACAGGTTAAGGGCTTGGGAAGCTGACTCTCATAACTAGCTGAAGGGCATACAGGACATTTTAGATTTTAATTTCACCACTACCAAAGAGAGAAAGAAAAGGCACAAAAAGATGGCCAATTTTTTTCCATCTGGTTCCCCAAAGGACAAAAGCCCCATTCTAGATGAGCTTAAATTTCTCCAGTTATAGGGAAAAAAAATTTCTCCAGTTATGGGAACACAGAGATTGTCAGAAGAGTCAGACAAACGGTCCCTGTGAAACGTGGCCACACCGGCCTCCAGAGTATCAGGAGACCGCTGAATTGGCTTGGTCAGTCACTTACTTTGGTGACTGTGGGTGCTCTGCTAGATAACCTACTGTCTCCCCAGCCTTCTAAAAATCCAGACAGAACAGCTAGGAAGAATTCTGGAGATAACACAGGAGGGTAAACGTTGCTCACATCTGCAGCATTTGCTCTGTCAGCCCGCTATCTTCCTCAGCCCTTATGGCAGAGAAGTCAGTCTGCTGGCATCGAAAGAAGAGGACCCGGTACTGAGATGAGGGGACTTCACAGGGACAAGGTGGACAGAGAAGACAAAAATATGAATAAATACAGCAATAAATACTTGGCAGCTATATATGTTAGAGTGAACACAGCATTCATGAGGTCGTGCCAGAGAAGTGGGAATGGTGAACAACTAACCAACTGGTGCTGTTCCCTCCCTTCTAGCAAGTTGTCTTCTATATTCTGAGAAACTTAGTCAAGGCCTGCCCTTTGCAGGATCAGCTCTATTATTCTTCCTAGAGAGGCAGGAAGGCTTACCCTTGGGTAAGCCAAGTTAAGGGCGTGGACTCTGGACCTAACTGCTGGGATTAAAATCTGTCCCAAATTACTTTAAGTCTTGGTAAAATGCAGATAATCATACTACTTGCTTCATGAGGTTGATGTAAGGCACAAATGAATCTGCACTGTGTAACTTAAGAGTAACTTTATGAAACTAAACTGATAGAAATTTCACCAGATATTCCTTTGCTTGCGGCATTTAGAAGTTTCTTTCTCGTTGACTTTAGAAACACTGGATGGTTCTTATAGTTAGCACTGTCATCAGTAAAAACAGGATCATTTATACCCGGGTTCACATCTTCTCTTGAGTTTGGTAAACACATAACTTTCAATTTATAAGTATATAATATTAACTTATAGTTGGACATATTGAAGCTAACCTGGCAATAGAAGTATATGGTTGCCTTACCCTAAAGGTCATTCGGGTCCCCAAATCTTTTACCACTAACAGCCCTTCCCAGTCATGCATCCTTTTCACTGAAGTCTCCAGTTCTTTTAAAAATAACACGTTGGAGAAGAGAAGTGGCCAAGTGAGAGACTGATGGATGGGTGTTTACAGGGACAGCCTGGGGATTCACTGAACTGGCAGTTGGGACTCAGGCTAGCCTCACCATGGCAGAGTTGATAAAGTGATAACACAGGCTCACTAACAAGAGAAAACCCAGACAGTGCAGAGAAATCTTACACCCCAAATCCTATGAATGGGACCTAGCAGTAGGATTAATCAAGAATCACTGGATCTCATCTTTGCAGAGCTATGTCCGGTTATAATCTCTGCCCTTCACAGGAAGCTCCGGGAGCCTTAATGTAATGTGCTCATATGCATCATCTTCTTTTGCTCTTGCAGCAGCCGGTCACTGGTAAGATGTCCCATCTTGGCTGTTTAACCATTAACTGTGACATCATAGAACAGCCACTGCTTCTAATACAGGGCGTCTGTGCAAACCTGGAGCTCGAACTGGGAACAAATCTGCATCTGGCTATCAACTGTGCTGGACATGAGCTGATGGACTACGTGAGTTTCCACTTCAGAGCATTTACTTGTTGTTGACGTCCATGCTTTTAAAGTTAGAGCTCAAGAGCTTATCTGAATAGTTCCCAAATAGATGTGGTTATTTTAAAAAATTAATAATGGGTAAGGGATCTAAATATAAGGGGAGGTGAGAAAGCCAAATTAGCTAATTACTAGAGAGTAAAATAACCATATAACTTTAAAAATAAAGCCAAGCACAGTAGCATAGGCCTTTAATCCCAGGTATTTGGGAGGCTGAAGCAAGAGGACTTCAAGTTCCAGGCCAGGGTGGGCAACTCTGTGAGATGCTGCCTCAAAAGATAAATAGGGCCGGGGACATAGCTCAGCATTCCCGAGTTCAGTCCCAAGGACTGGCACAGAAAAAAATAATAACAGAAAATGTCTTAACTTTATATAGAAATTTCATGATAAATATGAAAAAAGTATGAAATTTTATGATAAAATTTTATGATAAAAATGAAAAAGTATTTAAAACATCTTCAATTTTGGACTTGTTAGGAAATTGCTTAATTTGATTACTACATTGCAAACATGAATACTATTGGAAAATAATTTAACAAACTCGTATGTTTTGCAGAATATAATCATTTAGTGGTAAATGTTGAATTTGTCAAGTATGAAAAGTAGATCAATTATAACTGTAATTTCTTCATAAATCCTCTCAGGCAGATAATCGTTAGAGTTTATGTTGTTACTCACTTTTTAAAAATAACTTTGCAGTGCTGGTGATCAAACCCAGGGTTCAACACGTGGTAGGCAAGCACTCTACCACTGAGCAACTTCTCCAGCCCTCACTTTCTATAGAAAAATGTTTCCAAGGTATTGAAGCTTGTGAAGAGTTACGTTGTTATTTAATTATATGAAGTCTTATCCTCAACCTGGGTGATCATAGAGCCTCAGTAATAAAATATCACCCGGTGATCGCATTACCCAGAGAGGAATATTTTAAAAAGAGATTGGAAAGCAAATTCATGAGAACTGTCCCATTCCTCACTTCCTCAGGCTAACTCATTAATTTACCTTTATCCTTGAGAAATCTGCATGTTAGGAAATCTATTTGAAGTTTTCTGCCTTATACACACACACATACACACACACACACACACACACACACATTGTCACTGTCAAATACACAATGCTGTCCCCATTCAATAAGCCCAGCATATTGGCATGCATTTATGGTGACTTGGTAATTAATGTCAAAGTCAGGGGACAAGACAAAACAGGATCCTGTTTTAACTTTGATTCTAACTTTCAATTACAAAGGAAAATTTGAATAGTGTATAAGAGCTTTAAGTTTTGGCTTATTTCTCAAAGTTCTTTTACTTTTCTAAAGAAACTTAAGCGCATAAAGGAATATTTAATTTCCTATTCTTCGCATAATGATTGGTTCCTAGGCATAGCATTAAGAAAAATAATTGCATGTTTTCATCAGCAATGTATACCAAGAACTATGAATATACTGACTGTTAGTGCTAAGTAGACTGGGTATTTATTGCTTATATTCAGTAAAATGTATTAGCTTGGTAGCAGATAATTCTTACAGTAATGTTAGTTCAAAGTCATTAGCATTTCCTCACTGACGATGGGATTTTTAAGCTTTGCATTATAGGAGCTGAAAGTTCTTGAGGCTTTTTAGCATGAAGTATAGAATCCCTTCAATTATGAACTTCTTAGGAACCTGTTCATTGCAGTGGAACCCAATCTGTCAGTGGCAGCAGCAGGAAAACATTAACCAAACAGCCACTCTGTCCATCCTGCCTCCCTGCCAGAACCTGAATGTCCCCAGTGCCATCCCTGAACACAGACTTGAAAATAAGGTGCTTTGTTTTGCAGGAAGACTACACTGGATCTTCCAGCCCAAATTAACGTGTCTGTGCCGAAGTCCCACTTCCAGAATAGTTTCTACTAGAAGTTGCATGTAACCTGAGAAACATGCCTTCTCATAAGTCACTTCACATTTCAAATTGTTAACACTCAAAAGCCTAGCCCAAGCGGGATGTGGTGGTGCAAGCCTATAGTCTCAGTTACTCTGGAGGCTGAGGGAGGAAGATTGCAAGTTTGAGAGAAGTCTGGGTAACTTAGACTGTCTCCGAACTTAAAGGCGGGGTTGTTGCGGGAGTGTAGCTCAGTGCTCCCTAAGTTCAATCCCCAGGACTGAGGAAACAAAGTCCAGCTCTGCTTTCAAATTTTAGAATATGTACACTAAACAAATTATTTGTTCACTGAGTTGAAAGACAGCAGGTTTCAGAGTGGGCAGGTTTTGTAATATTACTGTTTGTTGTCATATGAATTTTGTGTTACTGTCCACCTACCTAGGCAGCCAGGTACCTGGCACCATGTCATGAACCTAAGTTAAAAAATAACTCCGAGGGGCTGGAGATTTAGCTCAGTGGCACAGCGCCTGCCTGGCAAGCTCAAGGTTATGAGTTCAGTTCCCGGTATTGGTAAAAAACCAAATAAATAAATAAATAAATAAATAAATAAAAAATAACTCCATACCTACTCTGTATTTGTTGGTGTTTTGTGTGGAAGGCTCCATCCAAAGGCTGTGGGAAGCTCTATAGATGCATAAAGAAGAACAGTGACTTGATTGCCCCAGGTTAATATTTTAAAGACAATGTAAAGTGAAATGCAGATTCTTCAGGGAATGTGGCTTGAAAATAATGTCTATAATCTTTTACATAAAAAGAATGAAAAGGAATTTGATGGTCACCTTTGACATGTGAACATGCACCCTTTATTTTGCTGTCTCCCATATACACATTAGAGTAAAGGAAAGTATGAAGTACTGACAGGTACCTACAAAAACGCAGCAGAGATGGTCGACCTGTATGTGGATCTGATCAACAAGTACCCTTCCATCATTGCCTTAATCGATCCTCTCAGGAAGGAGGTGAGCTTCTTAAACTGTTTACATTTGTAACATATTTTTATGCTATAAAGCAGGCTCACCTTCTACGTTTTATAGCAAAACAGAATAAAATGTCATTCTTTTGGATCTCTGTCGTTGGGAATGTGTTGTAATTTGGGCTGGAGCTGGGTTGCTTTATTTTGGCATTTATGAGACAGGCACTTACTAAGCACAAGAATAATAGAAACACAATCACCTTGGGGTGTGCCTGTCTGAGTGAAACAAGCCATTTGCAAGCCCTTCAGGAGTACCTGTATATTTACAAGCAACTTCCCTGATGGAAACCGCCCCTGCTGCGCTTGCTGGCACTTCAATACGGTAATCATATATCATTTTCATGTACTCATGGCAACAGGATCTCTACGAGGCCAAGTATTTTTTTAAACTAAATCCAGATACTACATATGCATAAAAGTAACACGGCCTTTTTTTTTTTTTTCCAGTACTGGGGATTGCACCCGGGGTACTCTATCACTGAGCTGCATTCCCAGTGCTTTTAAATTTTTTTATATCAAGACACTTGCCAGGAGGAAGTCAAATTTGAAATGCTCCTGCCTCAGCCTCCCTCATTGTGGGATTACAAGTGTGCACAGAGTGCCTGGCCAAAAGCCGTATTTTATTTTATTTATTTATTTAGTCTTTTTGAGACAGGGTCTCACTAAGTAGTTCAGGCTGGCCTTGAGCTCACTTTTACCCCAGCCTGGCCTCAAACTCACAACAGTCCTCCTGCCTCAGCCTCCCGAGTGCTGGGATTACAGGCTTGCGCCACCATGCCTGGCCCAAAAGCCATATTTTAAAAAGTCTGAGATACTGAAGTTTTGTCATCTATTCCAACTAATGGCTCTGACAAGGGTTATCTACATGCCACAAAAGACTGTTTCCCTTTCTAATCCATGTAAATGCTCCAAATTTGAATTCTTGAGTAATTTAGAACCGTTTGTATACTGAACGGACAGACTGAACACACAGCCTGACTATTTAGATTTGGAACTCATCTGGAGGAAGTCCCGGGGCTTGTCAGTCCCACCCTCCCTTTCCTGCCCAAGCCTATATACAAGCTCTCAGGAGACAGCGGCTGAGCTCAGTGCCAGACTGGCCTTGTGATGATGGTCTTGAGGCTCCGATCACAGCCTTTTTAATGTGAAACGATGCACCTGCATCATCAGCTCTAAAGGGGTAGGCGAAATCTGGTGTAATGGCTGGGCTGACTGTGTGTATGCAGATATATGCATACTCACATACATACATGTATATACATTCATACACATGCAACTTATTAAATAACCACTTCATTTCACATGGTGATACCCCCAATTAAAATGTTCTGAGAAAGAGGGCGAAGGCTGTCTTCTTTTTTTTTTAGTTCATCAAAAATAACAAAAATCTTCTAATCAGTCAGTCTTTATTAGCTATGGATAATACAGTGACGGGAGTAGCCTGGGTTTGAAAAATGCCACAGTTCACAGGAGGAATAGTATTTAGTGGATTAACATCTTGCAAGATCTTTAAACTTAAGTCACATTAAGTATCTCTTCAACCAAGCGTCCGAACTCATGTGGCTGTGGTGCCAGATCATTCATGCACAAGTGTAAAAGAAAATGTTTTGTGTATCTCAGGAAAAGAGTATGACTTTAATTATGTGCTATGGTGCCTACTGTTTTATATTATAATGACCAACTCTTAAATATTCACCCAGGACTCTGAACAGTGGGACAGCATCTGTAATGCTCTTGGTTCCAGGTGCTACATAATTGCAGGAGCTGCATCCAAAAGCATTTCTAAACTTCTAGAGCACAGAAGCATCAGCACCCCAAGATCCCATGGGCTGGTCATAAAACACACGAATCAAACTACAATGTCTGACTTGGTGGAAATAACCCATCTTATTGACAGTAAGTAAAATATAGATCTGAAAGGCTCATAATGACTTGTTTATATAAGAAGCCCAAAATATGCAGTATATGAAAGTTAGTAAAAAGGAAGGAATAAATCTGGGAAGCAAAGAAAATCCAACCATTTGTGGGAAATGTAGTGTTGGAAAATAAAAGGCAGTTTAGTGAGTTACTCTGGGGACATTCCAGTAACAGCCCTACTCCATGAGGTCATCCTTTACCAAAGGTCACCATAAAGGGGTCACTAACCTGTCAGCTTCACAATGGGAAGGGACTTTCTGCCCCTTACAGGAAGACCACAGCCTGACTTCTTCGGAAAGGGCATAGCCATTAGCACATTTATCAGTTGGTTTTAGGCAGTGAGCTCGGGCTACAGAAAATCTTTACAGAAGGTAGAAGGATACCCCAGCCCTGACTGCTAAAGGATAGGTTTCAAACTTAGACTCATGGTCTGTGAAACCCTTGGTACCATTCTCCAGCCATGTTTCCAAACACAGTAATGTTCGAGCTCATGACAAGCTTAAAATTCACTGATGGGAGGCATCAGGCCCCTCCAGGAAGCAACAGGGACAGGTGTATTTACACTGCAGCACACTGCTAAGGTATTATACATTCTTTCCTCTCTCACATTGTGCTCTAGATTAATCCTCAGTGCCTTAAGAACGGGGACCACATTTAACACAATAAGGCTGTAGTCTGCTGCACTAAAATTAACTTTGCCATTTTTAATATATCCTGACACTTGGGGACCATTTTAATTTGAAAGGACTTGGGAAGGCTCCTGGGTGATCAGAATTTGGAACTAGGACATCCACAGCAGGAAATGAGTATACTTCAGAGGGTAAGAAAACAGGCAAAAATATCCAGTCAGCAGAAGCAGAGTTTTCTGTCAGGAGAGACTTGTGGCAGATGGAGGTTTATTCCTAACAGGAAGCTACCAGGAAACTAGGAAGCATTAGGAAACTACCAGCCAGGCAAGAACACGTAGTGTCAAGGAAGCATCTAAAGCAGGCCTTTAGCCATGCAGCTGGGATTAGGAACAGTACTGGAGACTGGGGGTGACCGATAAAAAGCAGGGCTCCAACACAGATGGCCTGGGATGTCAGAGGTAGGCAGCCTCATGCAGTACCAACAGCCAGGAACTTTAGCATTTAACTCTCTCTGTAATGAAGAACGCATTAGCATTTCTGTTTTACTGATATGAAAATAAGGCTTAGAAATGTTAATTTTCTGGACACACTAGAGTGATCCCACTTATTTAATTCCTCAACGTCCAGTCTTTGCTGCCTCAGTTTGAACAAGCAATTCCTTTGGCCTCAATTTCTTTGCCCTGTGTTGTTGACTTAGTTAACTATGCTTCATCCTTCAGGTATTGACCAAAATGAAATGTCTGTAGATGTACATGCCTCCTCTGGTCTCCTCTACCTCTGACTGGTTCTGCTCTGAACACCCCTTGTAGCATCTTACAGTTTCTCTTTGTAGTGTTACCAGAATGAATTGTCTATTAATGGCTGGTATCCCTCACTAGACTAAATTCTAGTGATTTTATGGGCATCTTGTTACATAGCTACCAAGAGCAGGTTTTGGAGACTAGACACAAGGCCAGCCTCTGACCTGGACCAAGGAGCAGAGCCATAGTGGCAGCTGGGGCCAGGGTAGGTCCCAGAAGATGCAATGATAGGTACAGTGGAGCTGGCCTGGGTGTCTGATGGGAGACGCTTGGGCCCACCACTTAGCAGGTGTTTCTTCATCTTCGGATGGGTCCTGTCTTTAAAATGCAAACACTGTCACTGTGTGAGAGCGCTAGCTTACACTCATCATAGACTCTGGCAAGTTTCAAGGGGGTCCTCAAATGACTAAATACTATGAACAGTGCTGTGATATTCAGAAAGACAGGTTCCCTTGAATAAAATTCTACAGGATGAAGTAAGAAAACTGCTATGTAGACTGTGGACTCCACGTACACTGCCCTTGTACTTACCGTATTTCATCTGAAATGCAGTTTTCTACTTCAACAGCAACAAAATTAAATCATGTTTTAGAGCAGCGGTCTTAGGAACATGTCAATCTGATTTGAGAATTTTCCCCCAACGGCAATAAAAATGCAAATCTTTGGATTAAAATTCTTTAGTGGTGTTTGGCTCTTGACAGTAAAGTTTTAAATCTGGCACACTGCTCATTTTGATTCTAGGAGCTCTCATTTATGGGAATTGTTTCTGTGCCACATAAAACCGAAGGAATTTCTCTTCCAGGTATGAAGCACATCGCCATCCTTGGAAGTACAGAAGGAGAGTCCTCTGATGACAGCCTTGTTGATTTGGTAAGTGCTGAATGCTGGTCAATTGCAGAATTGCCAAAACACTGCTTTTATCACGAATTGGTATTTCACAGAAATGCAGTCTTTGGTGGAGAAAGTCATGTAACCTTTTATGAAATAGACTTGCTTCCTTCCAGACAGCTACCTTTTGCAAAGAGCTAATCTTTGAACTTTTAAAAAGAAGCACAATTGAAGTCCAGGGAAAATGACAAGCACACTTAAATAACTGGGGTGTGCACTAGCAATCTTCCCTCCTGAAATGAAGTGAGAAAGGCCAGGCTGTTCTTAGATAAAATCAGCATGCTTACACGACTAGTAAAACGTCTGATGGGCAGTCAGTCACACCATCCTTTTGCCTTTCAATACTCCTGGCTTGTGAGCAGACCACTTTACTTACATAAGATAAAAATAAAAGTACAAGAGAAAAACCCCAGCAGCACACCACGACAGTTTTCTTTTACTTTAAAGAATTGTTTGTAACTTAGCAAAACATAACTCCCCACCATTTAAAATAAGTTGTTTCCCCTTCAGGCTGTTGGACTCGGTGTCCGGTTTATCAAGTTGGGGGGTCTTTCTCGCGGTGAACGGGTGACTAAGTACAACCGCCTTCTTACTATAGAGGAAGAACTTGTCCAGAATGGAACACTGGGTATGTGGTGCTTTCTCACTTTGTTTTCACTTAGCCATGAGTAAGGGAACAAAGATGGGAAGAGGGGGAATAGAAGTCGCTCGGCAGGAGGGCAGGGGAATCCAGAGACGATAAATCAGCGCTGACAAAACCAGGGTGGCACTTGCCACAATGTATATTGTTGTCTTAATGGATTATCTATTTACCTGAATGTTTAAAACTCTTGCCCTTCTTCTCGCTGAATAGGCTGCGTGATGCTTTTCAATAGAATTAATTGATTGGAATCTCCAAGCCTACCTTTTGTTATGGTCCAAATTATAGAGGCTTTTCTGCACAGCCTGTGAAAGTTACAGGCAGATGTTTTCCTGATGGTTCCTGGAGACAACTCTGCCACTTAAAAAAAACTAAGCAACGTGTTAATTTTAATGTACCTTGCAAAGTTCAAGGTCTCAAGAGAAGTGAATGAATCATTTATGAAATCCAACCTTTATAAATTTGCATGGACAGAAACACCTTGTGTACTGTCTGGAGAGAAACTTCCTAAATCGGCATCTTTGCTTTCTGTAGTATTGATTGTGATGGCCTGAAAGAGGCCACAGCATGCAGTCATTTATGGAGGCCAATAAAAAAACTGTGATTTTTAAAACTTGTCATGTTTACTATATATGCAGGTGTCTTAAAACACACCCTTCATAGAAAATGAGGATATAATTAGGAATTATTTTTGAGCTATGTAAAGGCAGTCAAAAATGAGTCTGTGTTTGGTGTGTAACGTAAAAGCTCATTTTTTTCAAATAGGTCAAATTATATTGTTCCACATATTGTCTGATTATATTTTGTCATACTAAACTGATGGGGGCCTTAGGTTCCTTAAATGACCTCTCATACATCTCCAGGTAGCCTGCATAAGGAACACAGCCATTTCAGAGCATCCGAAAGACCCCAGGGACTGGAGGCCTAGCCCCTTTCAGGTGCTAGCGGAACCCTGGGTATTGGAATGGATTAGGCATTGAGAATTTCTCTGACTCTGGGAAGTACATGTTAAGGGAATGCAAAACTGGCAAATCTCTCCACTCCCACTTTTGAGTAGGAAATCTTGGCAAAATCTCAGCCACTAAAATACCATCCCTGCTTATATGGACCTTTCTGGGACAGTCCACTTCTGCCATCATTTCCCTCGGGGTCTCTGGCACTGGTTTGAGTTCACATATAGCACTGGCCTTTCCTCTCTAGCTCAGCTTCCTCTTTTCCTTTTTTGCTAAGCCTCTGCCACTGAATAGCAACCAGCAGGTCTTACTGGGTATAATGCAAAATGAATAGGACAACAGTATTGGACAGTGAATGTATAACCAAAGTGATTCTGGATCCTTTCTCATGGTGATGTGACTCCTCTGGCCATTTCTGATAACGATCTCCTTCGAATAATATAGTAACCCTGGAACTGGCACCACTGGATTAGACAATAAACTTTTTTTTTTTTTTTCTTAAAATAGGTTTCAGTGGAGAACACACGTTTTTTTGCTTGAATGAGGATGAAAAGGCACTTGAAGCTGCTGGCACTGGGCCCCTGGAACATATCTTCCCCACAGAAGTTGTGGAACAATCAGCTAAAGCATGAGCACATTTTGGGTGGGACGTACCGTGAGGCAGAGCCACACCTTGGGTATTAGACTGGTGTAAAGTATGTTGCTGTACTGGCTGTGTTCTTAAACTTCACTAATTCAGGTGTGCTTTTCATTCTGGTAATTTCACTGTTTGGTAAAATACAGATATATTTTTGCCGGAAATTTTGTGAACTTTGTTTTTTTTTTTTTTCTTCCAGTACCAGGAATCGAACTCACGACCTTGAGCTTGCCAGGCAGGCACTTTGCCGCTGAGTTAAATCCCCAGCCCTTGAACTTTGTTTTATAGTCCTTACATTTCCATGGGGACATTAGCTCTACTGTCCACTTTTCGAGGATCTAGTTTTTCTACAGGTAGTATTTTTGTTGCCAATTCTACATCTTGTCCTTTACAAATCAGAAATCTCCAAAACAGAAGCTCATTCTGCCAGAAGCTCTCAGTGCCCTGGACAGGTGTCCAGCTTCTGTGTTCTGAGATGCACAGACGTTTTTGCAGCCACCCTGATGCAGCTGGAGACAAGAGTGTCACTATTTTTTAAAATAGCCAGAGAACTTCATCTTCTTTTCTTGATTCCCTTTTTCCCTGATGTCTTCATCTTAAATTTTACCCTTTCTTGTATTATTTTTATCTTTGTGAGTCTCCTTATATCATTTTGGAATACGAAAAGATATAAATTAATGAGCAAATCAGTGAAATGAATACTCTTCAGGTTACTAAATGCTCAAATTGTTTATAATATATAAACGGATTGGCAAATGGTTAAAACTGATGTGACATGTATGTTGACTGACTTGCCTCTTGACATTTGTCAACTATTGCTGGGGTTAAAGCAAAGGAACACCAGAAACAAACATATTCAAGCATACACCTATAGATACATAATGATATCCAACTACTTTATATGATTGCGTTCTGTTAAAAGGATTACTATTTGCTTTTCCTACAAATTGTATATATTGCTATTTACTAACCTGTAGGAGAGTTGGCTAAGTTTAGACTTCTGATCTCCTACATAGGTTTTTACTAAGTACGCTGGGGATGTCTCCTTTAGAAGAGTATAAATGAGGGAACTTAATGTCTTCATGGCAGAACCAGCCTCTTCCGTTCCAAACTACAATCTGAAATTGGCTCAGTGGTAGCCTCTCAGAGCATGAGGTACAGAATTGGTTGATATCACTCTAAGTTGGGAGACTGTATCAGAATTTGTGGTTACCACTGCTTCTTCTGTTTCTTAGCAACGAACAGAGGGGCAAGAGAAACTGGAAGGCAAATTCACCTTAAAGGCAGGCTGAACATGACTGGATGTTCACACAGCCTTTACAAATATCCTTAAAGACACATACACATGCAAATCATATGATAATAACCCCTGAAACCATGCTATAAATTATAAACCAGAACAAAATAAGTTAATCAAAAGGTTATTTATTACCTTAACCAGGTTAGCACTTTAATTTGAACCCAGAACACAGTCTACTCATGTTAACCTTACTTGATAACTAGGCTCACCAATGGATGGCGAGCATTTTAATGTAGATTTCTTAGAATGCTGATCACTACGATCGTTTATATTTTTCCCGATCCATGTTATAAAAAACATTTGTATAATAATATATAGTATCTGTGAAAGAGATGAAAAAGCTAGTCACATCCCAGATTAAAAATGACAGTGGGACAGGAACAAGGGACCGTGCCTGGAAGAAACTTCAAGACATTCCAGTCCATACATAAGCACTGCGTCATGAGTCTCCTAAGGTCAGTGATGATGACATGATTTTCTGCTCTTGACAGTGTACTGGTGTATCAATTAAAGTTGTTCCCTGATGGAAGCAGTTATACATGTATAGCGTACCTTAAGAAAAATAACACAGATCTTTTTTAACACTGTGATATGGACTACTATCATTTGCCCGACATACAACTTAAAATGATCAGGAAAGATAATCAGCAGTAATTTTTACCTGTACTACTTCCTGTCCAACAGACCTTTTACTATTAACAAAGTTTAGGAAGGAGGAATTACTGATAAGGACTCAGAGGCAAACCAATCATCCTTCTTAACTCTGGGCAAACCAGGCTGGGTGCTAAAGGCCCTGGAGACCCCTGCCAATCAGAGTTCCCATAGGGCGGAACAACTGCTAAAATGACCATAGGTGAGGAGTTTCTGTGAGATTAGCTCAGATACAAAAAGGTACAAGAATTTTAATTAACTTCTTATTCTCTCAGAAGAGGAGACGTTCTCTCTTTAATAGGAGCCACACAAAGGACCTCTATCCCTCTCCTCTGTGAGATAAAAGTGCATCAACATGAGTTAAAGAAACAGAAGCAGGAACCTAGCTATATTCCTAAAAAAAGCAGCACAGATGTTCTTTTTTTTTTGCCTTTTTTGTGACAGGGTCTCACTATGCAGTTCAGGCTGGTCTTGAACTCACTTTGTAGCCCAGGTGGGCCTCAAACTCACAGAAATCCTCCTGCCTCAGCCTCCCAAGTGCTGGGATTACAGGTGTGCGCCACCACACCCAGAGGCATAGAGGTCTTATACAGAAAACAAAATCATGCAATTCATTCCAACTTTAAAATGTTACAGTTGAACGTAATTTTTTTTTAATGCAAGTAACTAATGGGCACACCTTGAAGATGGAAGCACCAGATGCCTCTATCTGGAACCAGCTGCTTTGCTGACAACACAGCAGGGCAAAAATCCCTCAAAACTGAGCTGAAAAGGGAAAAACTGTAGAATAAAGGCGAATAAATATCTTACATCAAATATCCTTGTACCACAGCAATTTAAAATACTCTGCGATCATGTGGAAGGAAAGTAGGGACACTCAGAAAGGCAAAATATCCAGTGCTAACTGATGCTTGGTCCAGCTAGCACATCTCACTGAATGGCTAGCTGCTGCTGGGAATGAAGGTGTTTTCATAGCCATGTTATCCTGCTGATGTGGATGAGGAAATGTGCGAACACGGTGTATGTATTTTCAAACTCCTAAAGGTGTGCAATACACAAACCAGGAGACTAATAATGGACACAGGAAGGAGGATCACATAAAGAAACATGGAATAAAGTGGCTCACAGCAAACCATTGTGTAGATCATTAACAATCACTAAAGTTACCAACTCTTATACAATTTTCCCATTAAGAATGTCAAGATTGGTTCAGTTTTGGGGCTGGGGTGTAGCTTGGTGGTAGAGCACTCACCTAGCAATTTGCAAAGCCCTGGGTTTGATTCCTAGCAAAGTGGAGGAGGCTGGTAAGGTTGGAGAACTAAATTTAAAAAGTCAAAAACCACAATTGACCCTTCATGGGAAGCTCTTGGTGCTTCTTTTTAATACATTGTGGTGAGGAGAGTTCAAATCACAGCATAACATAACTCATCTAAGTGAATTAATCAGTTTGTAGTTAGCATATCACATAGTGCTCTCATTCAGTTAGCAAAACATACAGATGAAAAAACATTACATTTTAATTCCCTACGAGTAATGTTATAGGTAACCGTAAATCATTGCTGGAAGAACATGGAAATAGTCAAGCATAAGGGACCTATGGAAAGATAATTGTCTCCAAATTGAGGAAGTACATTCACCTGACTACCCATGTCTTCAAGCCTCTGCTTAGCACACGTGCAAAAATACAATACAACACAACTACTGCAATTATTACTATCATTTTCTTCCGCCCTCAGGTGAGAAACACCTGACAGCTACATGCTGGTTCATGCTAACAAAACTAAACCTTTCACTTTCTTTAATAGTAAAATTACCATGACTGAATCATTGTCATAAAAAGTGCATTCAAGTACATTACCACTTCTTTTAAATAAACACCAATTTTCAAACAATTGACTTTGAAAAAAGCTGCATAAGTTTTTTTTTTTTAAATCCCTGATTACATTTCTATTTATTCACCGTGGTAGCCTGAAACACTGTATTTTGAGAGACTAACCACCACTTAAGTTCTTTAAAACAAAACAAAACAACCCGTGTAATACGCAACGGCAGTGAAGCAAGGAACGTGTGTGCTTGTTGCTCCTCTTCACTATACATGAGAACTGTGATACAATACGGAACCTCGGCCATATTAGCGTATTGGAAAACACAACGAACTGATAGAACAGAAAACATGGTTTGTGAAGCTGTTACTGTTGATTCGAGGTTTGGACTTTGGCCTCAACGTCATATTCAGGCCACCAGAACATTCCCGCTGAGGCCTCTGGGAGACTTGGGGCACATCAATAGCGTGTACTTTTCATCCAGTAATTGACAAGGTGTGTAATTCACAATGACTAAGAGACAACTAGTTTGATGCTAGCTCCTGAGTTTGAAGTTTATCTCTGCCTAACCCTAGAAAATAACTTGTACGCCATAGGATCCAAAGACAGCCAGACCCAAAACAGAAGCTTCTCTGGGGGCTTCTGTTTTGTTTTTGAGTCATAGTCTCACTATGTTCCCCAGTCTGGGCTTAGAACCCCTGGGCTCAAGTGATCCTCCTGCCCCACCCTCCAAAGTAGCTGAACTACGGGTGGAAGGCACTGTGCCCGGCTCTGGGGGATTTTTATATCATGAGAAATTGTTCAGTTCTGTTGATCCAACTATCCACAAGCACCTCGAACTCTCAGCCGTTACTGAATTTGATGAGTGGTATGCACATTTCCTAAAAAGATACCAACATCTGAATCCTTGGTAATCTTCTAAACAAAGCCATACTTCATACATACAGTAACTAGGAAAAACCTTATCCCTATCAAGTTCAAAAGCCAAAAACTACTTAAAATGTGTATATTTTGCTAAACAGCTTATTTATGCTTATAGTTGCTACTTACAGAAGCGAGACCAGAAAAGAACCTGTATTGTGAATACAGTGACCAGACAGAATGTCTCTAGCCCTTGACAATACACCAGACTGAATCATGTGCTCATTGAAAAGGACTTCCAAACACGTCAGCCTCCTGGTTGATGGATCAGCAGCTGGAGCTGTCTCTCTCTCTCATTTTTTCAATGCTATCTTCTTGGAATTCTGGTTTAGTTTCACCTTCATCATCTTTGCATTGAGCTGGATCTTTTTCGGCGACCTGGTCTTTGGTTTGGGGTTCATGGGCGGAAACGGGATCTAAAACTACAATTGGTTCAGCTTTGTTTTCACTGCCAATGTATCTTCTTCTCCTGTATCCAGTGTTACTGGGAGGCCTAGGAGATGAAGAGTTAAACAGAAAAATAAAAAGGAGAAAGAGAAAGCAGTTTTTCTTTCATATCTCTGGATTCAGACCAATAACCTCCCCCCCATAGCCTATCTAATCAACATGCACGTAATTGTCTTTGAGATGCCAGCCATTACCAAAAAAATGAAGCTGAGAAGGCAGAAAAAGAGTGATTAACAGAGAAAGTGTTAAAAAGCCAAACACACCTACCTGCTTAGTCACATGTTCTTCTTGGGAAGTGCAAAGCTGGCGGATCCACTGTGCATTCCCCATCACTGCCTGATGCCCCGACCCCTGCCCTGCCCCCCTCACTTAGCTGGAAAGAGCCCAGCCAATCCCTTCCTTCCCACTCGCCCCTGAGTGCAGCTGGCTGCAGATTAGCTTTGAAGAGTTGCAGGGAGAGGAGAGACAGTGACTCCAGGTCACTGAGGGACAGGTAAGAGGTGTGCCGACTGCAGCAGTAACAGCTAGGTGAGGGCTGACCTGGATGATGGGCCGGATAGGAAAGTTCAGGGAACAAGCTCAAATGTTTTAAGTCACCATAAATTTTTCTAACTGGAAGGATCTGGCTCCTGAGAAACTTCTTACTGAATCTCCAAGGCAGTTTTTTTTCCCACCCCGACAAAAGCTACCTTCTTCTGACGCAAGAGGCTGCTGCTCCTCAGGCTGAATAGGTGACCGTTTCCTTGTGGGAACTGAGGTATCCCTAAAACATTCTCTTGCAGTGTGTCAGAAAATTAAGCTGCTGGCACTTAGTTCTCTCAGAAGCTATGGTCAGAAGCTACCATGGAAAGCTCGCCGCTGGGCTGCTGTCCTGTCCCTCATGATCAAAGCAGCAACAGTGGTCAGGGCCAAGGCTTTTAAGACTTTTCTGATCCTCTTGGACAATGCCAGGATTGGGCCTTTTTGTCCCAGAGAACTCACTGTTAACAGTGAGCCACTACACCACTGTCCCACTTCTGACAGCGCTGAGCTCCTGCAGGCCAGCGCCAGCCCCTCCTCAGGAGCTGGTTTCCACAATCCCTGACCTCTCCAGCAGGTGGAACCGGCCAGTAGACACTCAGCACGTAAGACTGCTTTGCTGGAGTTACCACAGTTAATTAGGTGTTTCATGCCTATCTCTTCAATTACCACGTAAGCATCCACCAGGCAGTGACTGTTCGGTTGGATTCATAATATATCCCTAGCACCTTGTGCAGATCATTTGTAAATGAATGAGCAAATATTAAAACTATAAAAGGCTCAGAATGAATGGGAAGAAACCCAGGCTTTGATGTAAGTTTAGAAATCTCTCTTATACAAGCAAAAACAATAGAACATACAACCCACTACTGCAGGACCCAGTCACAGGTACAGAAATCCACATTCCTATGACTTTCTGAGCAGCAAGTATTGCAAGATCTGTCCAAATGCTTGAAAATCATTCTCTCTGGCTATTTGGTTACACTTACTATGTGACTTGGTCACTACCACATAACTCTTTCTTGGGGGTGGTAAAAGTCAGTATCATCAGGAAGCTGAAGGATCTTCCATAAAGATTCATGTATCTTCATTAGGAACCATCTACTGTGACCAAAGAACCACCTGTCAAGGCATCTGCTACTATGCTTGGGGGACCCATAGGATGCAGTCCACAGTGGTACTAATTTTGACTTTCTCTGACTTGGACAACATCTAAATACCTATGATCAGAGAAAGCAAACCACTGAGTGATATAAAGGACCTGACATGGGAATGAGACCTTAGGTGACCAAGGACGCTATCAGGTAGTCTATGGAACTGTTTATTGCCTCTGTGTCTGACGCTGGGGCTGAAATAAGTTGTTCTTACAGCTATAATGGGCAGGGAAGATGGTTGCAAAAGTGGCAGAGACCAAGGACAGACGAGAGATGCATCTGTCTCCTCTAAGCACAGATCCTGATGATGCACGCAGCCTGCGGTTTATGCTGGAGCCTTTCCACATGCACTTAGCCTAGGATGGGAGAAGCTAGAGGAGAAGATGGGGCAGCCATAGAAACCTGGGCCAGCCACTGCACATGCCAGTGAGGTGAGTCAGCACATCAACAGTGTGTCAGCTGTAACATAGTTGGCCTCACACGGACCTTCACAGGGTTAAAAAAAAAAAAAAAATTAAAGGATTACGATTCTACTCCTGACTTGCAAGTATCATGCACATTTCTCCTGTAGCCAACTCTAACCTGGAAACAAATGGGTAAGGAGAGTCTAGGAAATGAAGCTGCAGCCTAGCTTAGGCACTGGTGCAAGCTATAAGGAAGCTGTAGGTCCAGTCCAGCCTGGCTTCACCAGCCTGACTCTGAGCCTACCTGTGTAAAAGCCAGCCAACCGCTCAAATCATGCAAAAGGGGATTTCTCTCATTTTGGCATTCTGGGTGAGCAACTTCCATCATACCAACCTTCATCACTTCTGTAGAACTACCACAGGGATTTCCATGGCCCTGAGTATCTGTAGGTCAAGGGTAGTGAACACCTCCTAGGAAAAGCTGTCTTCATCAGCTGGGGGCTTAATGCTTCCAGTAAGTGCTCTCAGGGCTCCACAATGCCAACCAACAGGCTGACTGAACAGAAAACTCTGAAACCTTGTATTACCGGGCTGAAAATGTCCTGGAATTGCCTCGGTCCAAAGAACTGTTGTCTCTCCTGAAGAAAGCTTCTCAGCCGCAGTTGACCTACCAAGTGACTTGCAGGCCACAGTGTGAGAACCCTTTTGTTGACTATCACCAACCAAGGCACAGCGGGCAGGCTGTCTGCATCTGCAGTGAACCAGAGTTGGCTGGGTTCTCCAGGGTAAGGACCACCACCTAAGAACCCAGGCGGTGGAGGCAGAAAGGGATTAAGGCAGTTACCTAGTCTGATACATCCTTGTACAGATGAGGGCAATGAGGTGTGCGCAAGGGGGAAGCTTGGCCCCAAATAAGCAGCTCATCAGTGGCAGAGCCAGGGTAGGAGTTGGGCACTATCCCCTATTCCCTCTTCATCCACAATACCATGCTTTTCCCAAAGGCATCTATTACTAAAAACAGGACATGGATGCCACGGGCTAATTTGAGCATGCTTACTGATTTATGTCCACCTGCGTCTTGCAGGTCTGTTGCTATAGTGTTCATCCCTTCAAACTACCTCTTGGTTTCTTTGGATTTTCCCCCTCTGTAGTTTGTAGTTCCTCCTGACTGGACATCACTAGGTCCATTTCTGTTTCTCCTGGGGAGCTGCCCAAAATTTCTCCTGGAATTACGGACCTTTCTTCTGGCCTTATCCCCCTACTTCCATCCTCATCCCATGGGAAAAACCAGAGAGCCTATTCAGGGACAGTGCTGGGAATCCGAGCTCTCATTCAAGGCAGCCAAAGTGGCAGATTTTAGAGGGTCAAGTCTGTTGCTTCTCCCCAAGACAGAAATCCTGGAAGCACAAATGCAACAATCCAGTGGGAATTGTGGAATATGATTATTCTGTTCAGTTTTTCTGCTTTAATGCAGCACCTAAGGACAAAAACTACAAATAAGTAATTGAAAGTCAGTAGTCATAAAAAAGTAATGGCAGCCAGGTGTGGTGGTGCATGCCTGTATTCCCAGCACTTGGGAGGCTCAGGCAGGAGGATTGTTGAGAGTTTGAGGCCAGCCTGGGCTACAAAATGAGCTCAAGGCCAGCCTGAACTGCATAGCAAAACGCTGTCTCAAAAAGACCAAAAAAAAAAAAAAAAAAAAAAACAAAAAACCACCAAAAATATAATGGCAGCTTTTCTCCCACGTATAAGAAGACATGCAAGTAAAACTTCATGTTGCAGGCGACCAGAACTAAAACTAAAATTGTGGCACACTCAAGCTAAAAGGGATCACTAACATGAGCTACTTTACTTGTTTGATGAGTCCAGAAGAGTGAGGTGAAATGATTTGTCCAAGGCACACAACTTGCTGACAGCGGATACAGGACAAAAACTGGAATCTTGATTTCCTGGCCAGCAATTTTTTCTTGCAACAAAATAGTGGTAGTCCTTTATGATCCATTCAAATAGATATTTCTCGTGGGTCATTTTAGACCATTTGTTCAAATGTGATTTCAAGACAAAAACAAAACCAACAAGCAGTATAAAAGCTTGAACACAATATACCAAATCGGTGCCACCCTATGAAGCCTGGTACCTAAGTATAAGGTAGGTGCCCTTTCAGGAAGTAGCTGCTGTTCCCCAGCTGCAGGAGAGCCACAAAGTGAGCTTCATCTGGCAGGACCCCTTGCTGGTAAAAGGAAAGACCTAACTCCAAACTCTACCGGTACCAGAAGAATCAGAACAATTGGAAATGGTTCCACCAGAGCTGAACTTTATAAAGAGATTCGGTGATTTCTCGGACTGTGTCACAAGAGACTGAAGCACAGCATTCTAATTTTTAAAAAGCACATCATTGTTTGCATTCAATGAAATTCTTTTCAAAATCAACTTTCCATGTTCAATTATATTCAACAACATTCTAGCTAACATTTCGGCTGCAATTCAAATTAACTAATGCCCAAAAGAGCCCTAATCGACATGGTTCTGAGCTCAATTGAATACAATCAAAGCTCATGAAATGAAGGGGAAAATGCTTATTTCATGCAAATTCTGCATATCACTCAAGCTTAATTTTACTGATAATATAAAGGTGGGACATTTCGAACATTACAGTGAATGAAACTTTTAAGCGGTGAGAGTTATTTTATAAAATGCTACCTCTGAAAAGCTGATTGCCAAACAGTATAAAAATGGTTTGAGGCATAAATGCCAAGTTCATTTCTATTTCACTTCTGAGGTAACTATCTTTCAAATCGCAACAGCTGGACTATTTAACACAATCTGGTGAATCAAAGTATAGCTCTTCTCTGGTCTCCCAGTGGGACGTCTGCATTAGTCTGTGGCAGCCATCCAACAAATGACGCACAGCCGGACGGTCTGAACTCTGTTTCATTTACAATAAAAATGGATAAAGCCACAATCATATT